TCTGCTCTCTTACCGTGAGTGGACCTACTCTGGCTGCAGCAGGAGTGGATTTTCTTAGTTGTCTTCAGACCCCTGTGTCTAGGCTGGATTCTCTGCATGGCGTGCCTCATACTCCTTTTTAGATTACGCATTTCTTTCTTTAGTTTTATGTGTCTGAGCTCCTCGATGCATGAATGTGCACCATGTACATGTCCACTGCACACAGAGACTGGAAGAAGATGTCCCTTGGGACTGGAGTTGCAGAGGGTTGGAGTCCACCCTGTGGGTGTCGGGAGCTGAAGCTGAAGCTTCTGCAGGAGCAACACGGCTCTTGACCACTGAGCCATCTTTTCAGCCCATGGCTCATACTCTCAATCTTCCTTCTTGTATTTAAGAGAAAAGTGTGATTTTTTGTTGTTTGTAATAACTGAAAATTAGCAACACTTAAAAGTTACCTTTTTTTTTTTGAGATACGATATCATGTAGCACATGCTTGCCTTAATTGTCTGTGTAGCCAAGGATACCCATGAGCTTTCCATCGTCCTGAGTCCACACCCTGAAAGCAGAAGTCAAAGGTGTGCACCATCACCCCCGGCTTATAGATTGCTGCGGATGGAAAGCAGGCTTTGTGGATACTGCACAAACATCCTACAGCTGCAGCCATAGCTCTAGTCTGTAACTAGGTTTTAAAACAAGATTATTTGATTGTGGGAGTCATCTTTATTTAAAAGAGGTTTGGAACTTGTACTTTCATTTAGGGACTTATCTAGAAAACTATAGAGGTGTGTGTGTCTCTTTGAATTTTTTTTTAACCTCTCCTGGAACTAGCTTTGTACATCAGGCTGGCCTTGAACTCATGGAGATCGACTGCCTCTGCCTCCTGAGAGCTGGGATTAAAGGCGTGCACCAGCATATTTCTGTTTTTAGTGCTGGGATTACACGCAGGGCCTTAAGCATGCTAAATCTGGTCTTTCTCACTGAAGTCCACCTACGCCACCAACTTGTGTTATTTTCATACCGTTGAAGGACAGTGGATTTTCTAGTTCAGGGTTGTACACCAAGAAGGAGAGATAACCAAGGTTATTGGTTTAGGGGTGTATCCCCTAATTTGTATGCTGCACTACTGTCAGCAAATGTAAGCCCTTTGCCTTGATGACATTTCACATGGGCCCCTTACCGTGACCTTGGCAGCTGCAAGGCAAGACTAAATGGAAGGGAGACCAAGGACACAAAACACACTGGCTACTGAAAGCATCCCATTCTAAACTTTCCTCTTTAGTCTTAGAATTGTCCTGTAACCTGCTCGAGGTCTGGAGTCTCATGTGATCTTGCCTGCTGTACTCCCAACAGCACTGTGAAGTCTCACTCATTAGGGATCAGGGCAGGAACTGGGTTAATGTGTTGAAATAGAAACCTGTCTTACACAGAAACACACAGTGATGCCTGTTACAGCTAGATGCCTGTTGCTTTTTAACACATCAAAGGGGAAAGTTGAAACCACTAGGAAAGTCCAATTCCTTGAGCACTCTCCAAGGACTGAGGTCTGCCATGCTGCTCTGATGACTGAACATCTCCCTTCTCTTTTTCTGAGATGCTTATGGGGACACACCCCGTACGTTCTGTGTGCTCTCCAGGTGCCAGGAGACTTCTTTTGGGTGCATTGTCTGCTTACTGTCTAGACCTGACAGGTGAACTGTGGCGCAGCAGATGAGGAAATGGAGGTCCAGTTGCTGCCACTGAAATTTCACTGTGGAGATTCCTTCATTCCCTGGCTCATGTGATGCTTGTCAACTGGATCCAGAGGACACACACAGTGCATGTCATAGAAGTCAAGCTTAGTTTATTGCAGATTGAGGTATGCTCACAGTGGCAGGGACAGTCACCAAGAGGGCCATTGGGATAAGAGTGGCCAGTGGTCAGAGGGACCACTGTGCTGACCTGCATGTGGGTTTTATATTACCTCTTAAAGATTCTGGAACAACTTTTCTGGGGGGCACACACCTAACCAGGTGATTGGCAGGCACATTTGGATTAGCTTTTACAGGAAGGCTCAGTGGGGTTTTTATTCTTTACCCCAAAGCCTCCAGTTAGGAAAAGTGACCTTTGGCCATTTGAATGTCATGTCTCCACTGATGGTGAGAACTGTGACTGAGGTCCTTCTTCTGAGCAGTAGTCGGTGCTCACAATTTCACCTCTTGATTTTAAAACGGCTGATTATGGGGCAGGGGGGCATTCATGAAGACCCCAAGCCTGTTTATGTCTGACTGCCTAATACAGAGGTCACAGAACTTACCCACATGCACCATGTTGCTGCAAACAGCAGGATTTGTGCCCAGCCAATCCTCTTGGAGAGCCTATGTCCAATACTTGCCCTTGTTTTCAGTGTCACAAGTAGGCACGTTCTTGTTTGAGGATATACTATATCCTGGGTACTCACAGCACTCTCTGGAAGGATCTCACAACTTATATTTTTCAGTCCTGGAATCCATAGAGCTGAGAAGGAGTTTATGGAGAAACGGAAGATTGTCCCGTGAGTTCCTTGGATGTTGTGTCCAAGCTGCTCATTTGGGATGGTGTGAGTCTCAGAATGCCTCCTGTTGGTGGGAGGGAAGAGGAAGGAAGAACATTCATTGGAGAGTCTCCGGTCTCTTGACTTTCCAGCCGTCTTTATAGTCTGTGTGGGACAGTAAAGCAAGGGTAAATGAAATTCCTCCCTCCAGTCTTTGCAAGAGCTAACTCCTAGGAGTCAGCACACCCCCTGTCTCTTGTAATAGTATTCGATGTGGCTGTTACTGATTCCTGTTTAACCAGAGCTTGGCACCTTGTTAAATGCATGTTGTTGCATGGTATCTTCTTTGAAAGAACAGTCAACTTTGCTCCCTGGGTAACGGATTCCACTTTCTCTCGTGTCTAATAGACTCCAGGTACAAACCTCCTTTAGTCTTCCCTCCTGTTGTACAGACCAGAAAACTGAGCCGGAGGAAGCATTAGCACTATGCAAGCAAACGGAAGTCTAGTTCCATAAAGCTCTCGTTTTTCTCACTAAGAGTTCACAAAGGAGCTCTCTTCATCTTTCTTCTTTAATTCAAAATACCCAGGAGTGGGCCTTGTAGGGGAACCTGGAGTTTTCCACTTCCATAAGAGGAGGTGTCACTCTGCTAGGATCACCCCCTACGGCAGCAGCTCCCCATCTATGAGCTGTGATGCCTTTGGGGTTAGACAACCCTTTTAGGGGGGGTTGCATATCAGATCTCATGCATATCAGATATTTACATTATGATTCATAACAGTAGCAAAAATACAGTTATGCAGTAGCAGTGAAAATAACTGTATGGTTGGAGGGGTTTCACCACAACATGAGGGACTGTATTAAAGGGTCACTGCTTTAGGAAGGTTGAGAATCACTGCCCTAGAGCATGACTTACTTTCTAAATAAAAACCAAACAAACAAAACCCCTCCCTCATATACTTAAAACAGGACCTCAACAGAATCTCCACAGTTCCGAAGCTTGGGGCCATGATCTGCAGAGATGCCTTTGGGGAATGTGTCTGTACTCCACCCTTGGTGATGGAGACCTACCCAGCCTCCAGTGTCTTTGCTGATGGCTCCAGAGACTTCAGCTTTCAGGAGTGTTTAATTAAGTCCTGAGCTGTGTAGCCACAATTTACCTGTGAACCAATAAGGACTGCAGGGTTTGGGGGCTGAGCACAGCAGGAGTCAAGATTGTTGCAGTTGGGAGAGGGATGGAGTTTAAGTCTGACTTCTCGTCTGTTCTGAGCAGGTTTGGGAGGAGGTGATAGGGAAAAACATGGCTGTGATGTGCGTGGTGGGACGTTTGTGCTGAGGACATCAAAGGTCGGTGGGGCAGGGGTAGGGATGGGGTTTGCTGAAGAAGCTGACCAGGTGCTGAGGTTGGGCATTCTCGTCTCTTAGAAGGATCCTTGCTAACAGTAGACTGTCCAGACCCAGCAAGGAAGGGAACTAAGCAGAGGACTCCAGTAGGAGTTTAATGTAGGAAATACCTTAGTTCCGTAGATTGTTCAAATAGAAGGGTTTATAACTCACACAAGAATACTATTAAACAGAATGCATGGGTCAGTTAATTTGAGAGAAACTATTTTCTTACTATAAACATTGGAAGAGTCAGTTGTAAAGGTCAGTCTGGTTCTCAGGGCTGAGATTATCACAGTTTCCCTGATGTACTGTGAAGTTTATTATTTTTTCTTTCATTTGATGCATTTGAATGGAGTTTAAGGAACTGCTGCTGCTATAAATCCTTTGCAGATATTAATTCATTTGATTCTGAGTCATTGTATTCCATTTTTACATATAACAGTAGGAAACCAAGGCCCAAAGGAATTCAGCAAGTAACTCAAGCGACGTAGCAAGCAAGTCCGGGGACATGGCTTCCAAGGCAGCCAGGCTCAGGACTACAGATCATTCTGTTGGGCTGCATCTAAGGCTTCTGCCTCCTAAAGATTTGCATATTTTGTAGCAGGGGCATGGAACGTCCTTGATTTTCCACCCTGAAGTAAGGAAGAATTCCTTTTCTGGCTTTAGACTCCGATGCTTGTTTGAATTGAAGTCTGGGTGGGTGTGAGTTTACACGGGTCTCCAGTAAATTGCAATGTTATTTGTAAACAGCCTCTGGGGTCATCTTTCATCTTCTGTATCTAAGCCAGAGGTGCACTGGAGAAAGCACAGTCACATCTTTCTCACAGTGTGCAGGGAGCTCTTTCTATCCACCATTCATTCTCCCCACCCCACATTCCTTCTGTTTTCAAATAAATGTCCCATTTATGATGTGTGAGTGGCCATTCCCTGATAATGACTTCCAGATCATCTACTTCTGGCCTCACGCTTTCCTTGGAGGGTCACAGCCCATAAGCAGGGCAGTTCCAGACTCTAAAACATGTAGTTATTAAATTTGGCTTCAGTTTGCCAAGCTCGTGTTATAAAACTGTGTCGTTACTGGAATTCTCTGTGGCCCTTCTCCTCATGGTGGTTCTCTTCACTGCAGATCTGTCCATGGCTGTACAGAAGTTTTCCCAGTCTCTGCAAGACTTCCAGTTTGAATGTATCGGAGATGCGGAAACTGATGACGAAATCAGTATTGGTGAGTACCATAGTCTCCAAGGTTGACTGCAGGTAGTGATCTCATTGAAATCACACAGACATCACACATACCTAAACAAAAACATATAAAATAGCCTCTGGCTTTAATAAAACTCAAGGCGTGATTTGGGGTTTCTGTGAAATAGTATTACAAAATGTAATGGGAGGATTACTTAATCATCCCGGCTCAGATCAGCTGTTTGATGAAATAGAGATAACAGTCTTTTGTCACTGCCTTCAAACGCAGATTGGGCATGCACTCGGTATACCCAGCATAGGATGTAAGAGCTAGCATTCTTTTTTCTCGAGTAAATACTTAATTCTTCACTAATGCTAGGATCTGCTCAGAAAGGAAATAACCACATTTAATCATGATGTATTGAGCTGGTGTTCTACAAGATTATGGCCCAAGACATTTCAGGCAGAAAGTTTATCTTTTTTGCAGAATGTTTGAGACTAGATCTCATGTATCCCAGATTTCCCTCAACTACGAGGTAGCCAAGGTGACTTAACTCCGGATCCTTCTGCAGTTGAGTAATCCCAGCTAATGTGTGTGCCTGGTTTACATGGTACTGGAATGAAACCCAGGGCTTTCCTGCGTGCTAGGCAAGGCAAGGCTTACTTAGGGAGCTATACCTTTAGAAGTGTGAAGTTCTCTGAGAGGGAAGCATGAGTGTGACTGGTGTTTGGATTTGTGTCCGTCTGCGTTGGAAAGCGGCTCACTTGTGCCTGTTGGGGAGCTGGAGAGAAGTGGGGAGAGCCCTGCTTGCTGCATGGACATCAGGCAGCACATTCCCTCCCTCTTTCACCCTTGTGGTGAGCGGGAAAGATCAGCTTGAGTGGTCAGGTGCCATCTTCATCTGGAACTGCAGTGTCAGATTGTTTGTCACACTGTTTAACACTGGGGACTTCAAGCCCAGGTCTTCCATATGCCTGGTGTATGCTGTTCTGTCACTTCTTCACATTGGTGTTGTAAATGCATATGGCTCCCAACACAGCCAGATAAAACCTAGATTACATTGCTAGAATCGTAAGACATCAGTATCATTATTTAGAAAAATTATATTCAAGTAATACATGTTATTTTTTTTAACCTGTTATAAAATGAATTTCCGTGCAGGTGACAGCCAGGCCCCTTTCTTTAAGTCTGGGTGTTTGATGTGGGCTTACCTCATGACGGTCAGTCTTTTGGAAATATGACTTAAGAAGCTTTCATTTCTCTATGGGTTTCTAATAGGACGGAGCATATAATTGGTATTTTTTCTTTGCAGGGGACTATGCAAATATTTCTGAGTTTTTACAGGCCTAATTTTTAATGGTTTGGTCAGGTTCCATCAGGTTCATACATGTGAATTTATGGAGCTTCATAAGGCAGTGCCTGGAGTGCATCCAGGTTGCTAAGGATTGATTGCTCACCAGTGGCTGCTAAGAATGCAGGCAGCAGCTGTCCGTAAAGTCTTTACCTTTCCAATGAGCGTTTGATGTGAAGTTTCTCTTGAAGTCACACTTGAAGAATGTGGGAGCTGCCGAGCAGGGTTTTAGTCAGGATGCTCTGCAGCCTTCCAAGCAAGCACTGGGTAATTTCCCAGGGTTGCGGTGAACTTGATCTCTCATGTGTTTGACTCTTTCCAGTTTGATTTAATGGACACTGTTGTTTCTGCTTGCTTGTAGATTGGATTTGAAAGATATGCATTGACCAGTAGGTGAAGGCTTACTCTAAGCCACCAATAATGAACTACATTCTAATGTTTAAGGGCTTTGTGGAATGAGATGATAGGTTAGAGATGAGGTGATGGGTAATTAAAGGGTAAATGTTGCTTGCTAATTTTACATCAAGACATACAACAGGGTTCTCTAGAGTCACAGGACTATATGCAAACACAAGACTACATATACATCTATGTATCAATCACAACACTGAATAAAATATAAGGGAATTTATTGGGATGACTTACAGTCTGCAGTCCGGCAATAACTAGGTCTGAATGGAAAGTCCAAGGATCTAGAGTTGCTCAGTCCCATGAGGCTGGGTGTCTCTGGAAGCCTGAAGAAGTTGGCTCCAATACCAGTGAGGGAGGGAACGGATGTGCTGACAAGGTGAGGGCAAGCAGGTGGGGAGCAAACAAAACCTTCCTTCTTCCATGTCCTTATGTAGGCTTCCAGCAGAAGGTGTGGCCCAGATTAGAAGTGGGTCTTCACACCTCAAAATCCGTTTTAAAGACATGTGTAATCCTGCCTCAAGATCCAGATCAAAGTCTGTGTCCTCCAGCCTCGAGATCTGGATCACCTGAGTGCCTCCCCCACTCCTGGACTGTAGTTCTTCCCAGATATAGCCAAGCTGACAACCAAGAGCAGCCAACACAAGAGACGTAAGGACCAGGTACTGGCCATTTTATGCATCGTTGTATGCTTATGCTGCTGCAGATGGAGCCTAGGGTTTTTCCTATGCGAGCCAAGTAGTCTACCATTGAGCAACATCCCCAGTCCCAAGAAAAATGATTTCTCATAAGCAGAAATTATTTCTAAAGCCTCAACGTAAAAATATAGTGACTTCGTCTACATTAGTCACCAGACGTTTATGTCTTGTAACTCGGCCTCCAAATGCAGTGCAAGGACTTTAAAATAGATTCTGGGGGTGATGGAAGACTTTAACCAGTCTCTCCTGACATGAGGTACAGGGAACTCAGAGATTCCTACCCCAGACTGAAGAGTGAGGCTGCTTGGATGGACAGCGGGGTGACCCTGCACACCCTCCAGAGCTCCAGTTCTGCAGGGGAAGGTGCAGCACTGCCTGTACTAACCCTAACTTGTTGACGCCCCAGTGAGTTCCTTCTGTATTTCTTCAATTCAATGAAAGAGGGATAAAACGGAGGCAGCTGTGTGTGGTGAAACATGACTTTAATTCCAGCACTCAGGAAGGAAGACAGAGGCTAATGAATCTCTGAACTTGAGGTCAGTCTTGTCTACATAGTGAGTTCCAGGACTATCAGGGCTGCATAGTGAGGCCCTGTCTCAAAATAAAATAAAACAAAATGAAAAAAAGAAGAGAGAAACACACACACACACACACACACACACAGAGAGAGAGAGAGAGAGAGAGAAAGAGAGAGAGATTAAGAGAGAGATTAAGAGAGAGGGGGGTGGAATTAGTCCCAGTATTGACTAATGGCTAAGACAGCCTCAGCCAAAATAGCCTTGAGATTTACCGACCTGACCATAAAGCCTGATGATTTAGGAGCAACACCAGAAAGGCAGGCTCTCTCCAAGGCAGGCAGCATGAGTTAGGGGTGAAGTGTGAAGCCACTGGAGGACTTCCTGTGTGTGAAGATGGCGGTGAGATCAGGACACAGGATTCTGGGTGAGAGGCGATTCTCATGTAGGTGAGATATGCCATACCCTTATGCCTATAGAGGAAGCCAAAGCTACAGACCTTAGGAAGGAGAGGGTTGTGGCATCACCTCGGCCGTTTAACTACTTAATTTGTGGGAGCTGCTCTGGGGAGTCTGCTCAGTGAAGATGCCGATGTCCAGTAAATCCTCCCTGCTCTTCAGCTGTCCTCTTCTGCCTACACCCACACTCCTTTGACCTTGTTTGCTTGTTTGTTTTTGTTGCTGTTTTGCCAGTGAAACTTAGTTTAGAATAAAACAAACAGGAATTACTCATCCAGGACCCAGAAGGGAATTTTGGGGGGTACTACTGTGCTGAAGTCCCAAATAGAACATTCTATTCTGCACACTCCTTCCCAGCCAAGCACTGCTGGAAGCCTTTGCTTCTCTACTCCAAGGAGGGATGAGCTGTGGGCTTTTGCTTGCACACCCTGGCCTGACTGCTGCATGCAGCTCTGGACGAGTGGAAGCCGCTTGCTGAGGCCAGCCAAGCCACCTTCCGGCTGGGCTCAAATTGCTTGCTCTGTGGCTGGGCTCGAATTGGTTGCTCTGTGTACCACTTAGGAGCTCTGAACTAAGAGGACTGAGTTAGGAATCTGGAAGTTAGAAATTGATGGTGGTGGGAGGTGTCAACCTCTCTCAAGTGATAATTTATAGGGTAGGCCAGAATAAAATTGCACAGTTATCTTGCTGTGATCTATTACTATGCATTAATATTTTCCAATACAAAAACACAGTACCCTGTGCACTGGTATCCCTGGTGCCCGCATATGCTGGCACTTGCCGTGTTCTAAGAGAAATTATATGCACATCTTTAAGACTAGTGGGAACAAAAGGGTTTGTGTACAGAAAACAATCTTATTCTATCAAAAACTCTGTTTATAGTCATTCAGTTTAAATATTTGAAAGTTCAAAGATGTTTATGTAAACTTACCTATGAGACAGGTAGTCTTGCAAGATTGACTAAGCTCTTAAGAATGTGGGACAATGAAGGCTGTGTATCTTCACATATTACTCTAGAATTTTTATTTCATTCATATAGAAGGTGGAGCACACAGGTTACTGTAATTCATTCTTGTGTTTAGGGCCTGCAATTTGAAATAAACTTTAATGGTTTTATGTATCTGTTTGCGTATTGAGTGTGTGTGTGTGTGTGTGTGTGTGTGTGTGTGTGTGTGCGTGTGTGTGTGTGCAGACCATCCTATGCATACGGAGTTCAGAAGACAAGCTCAGTGTTGGTCCCTTCAGCATGTTTGAGACGGGGATTCCCATTGTTCATGGCTGAGGGTTGCAGGCCAGCTGGCCAGCAGCTTCCATGGAGTCTCCTGTCTCTCACTGATCGCAGTTCTGGGATTGTGTGTACATTGTCAGGCTGCGTTCTTACATGGGCTCTGCTCATTTAAACCCAGGTCCTCACTTTTGAGTGGCAAGGGCTCTGCCCATAGAGCCATCTCTCCAGCTCTTGAAATAATTCCTAAACACAAGTCTACGGAAGAAAAAAAAAAGTCTAGACTTTTAGATACTTTCAGTCAAGCTGAGCTAGCGCCGGTACAGTGTTAGGCCTTAATCCAAGACAAAGTTTATCTGTTCCAAGCAATCCAGGAAGTCATCTGGC